CTTTCATTTGTGACAAAGACCTCCTAAATTTTCACCTTGCAACAAATACCCCCTTAAGTCAGATGACAAAATGCATTAAATTACCAAATATCTACCCGAACTTTCCTTAATTTCTTGACCTCAGCCTTTTCCCTTAAACCCTGGATGACCAAACCAAAAATACCTTCATTTTCTCCATATGAAACCAACTAAAATAACAAGAATCATTCCAGTAAATCAAGAAAAACCAAACAAAATCATATCAGAAAGAAATCTCTACCATTTCATTTGAATATTGAATCTAGCCAGAAATTTACAAAGATCTATTTGAGCAACCGAGAGGACTTCAATGTTATAATTAGAAAATTAATCGAATCATAAAAACGTTCAAATAAATAAGAAAAAGGGTAGTTTGGAAATAAAAAAAAATGAATGAGAATCTTTGTTGAAGTTAAATGACAGAACTTTAAGGGAGGGGCCAGGTATTTGTTACAAAGTGAAAGTTCAAGGGGTATTTGTAACAAAGTGAAAGTTTAGGGGGTTTTATCACAAATGAATGTTCAAGGGGGTATTTGTCACTACCCCATAGTGGGTCTTTGCAATTTACCCAAAAAATCCCTGAAACCTCTCTTTACCCAAAAACATGTTTGTTTATGTGGTAAAAAAATGAAATATTAAAAGTAATGGGATTGGGAAAAATCTACTAATTTAATTGGAAGAATTAGTTTGGGCATAACAAACATTTAATGTAAGTGTCCACATAATTAAAGTAATGGAAGAGATTTATAAGTCCCTTAATCCTCAAAAGTCGGGAGGATTAAGGGCAGGTCAGTCAATGTTCAAAGGAGGTTTAAGACCTTTTCAAAAAGAAAAAAGAAACCCAAGGGATGCTTAAGAGATTTACCCGAAAAAGCTTATTTGTGTGAGTGATCTAGCTAGTAGTTTAGTTGGTTGCTTAGCATCTCTCCTTTTGACAAGGAATGGATTCAAACCTGCAAAAGCTAGGCTCTCCTATATGCACTAAAGAAAAAATATTAAATCCAGACTAATTTAATAAGTTCAATGATGAGCTCAAAGTTACAATAAGCCCTACTCATAATATAATATCAAGACATGATAAGTAAAATTAATCCTACTTAGCAATGTTTGCATATGGTCCTACTAGTTTGGCAAAAATTGAGAGACAAGAAATTTTCGATCCACAAGTTGAAGTACAACAATAATGCACTAATAATATTTTTGTTTCTATCATAAAGCAATTTACCGATCACTAAAGGCTCTTGATGTGTTAAACTACTAAATTGAACATATGGATTTATATGTGCTTATGATATTTGCTTAGTGTAGGTCTAAGGTGAGGAGCACTTGTGGTGTCTAAGGATAGTAGATGGAGGCAACGGTGGACTCGAGGAGACTGTGAATAAGGGAGCAAGAAGTTGGAGGTAAGTTTTGGAGAGGTAGAGCTTACACAGTCTCAATACTGGATGTCTACAGGGGCCGGGGCCCTCGAAGAGAAACCACATCTCTGCCCCACAACACCTCACAGCACATCCCCGCCGTGTATTGAAAGCATCTCTGCCCCACGGCGGGGATGTGCTGTGGGATGAGACGTTGTGGGGTGGAGATGCGAACTCCCTCGAAGAACCCCTATTTATAGAAATCTCCTCGGAAAAAGAAGGAAAGTGTTTTCACTTTTGGAAAGGCAATTCCAAGTTAATTAGACCCGGGATTGAAAAGCAGTTTGAGGTTTTGTTACATGTCCATGTGAAGTGTCGATATGGGTATGTAATGTAAGGCATGGTTTTAAAAACCATGACGGCATCTTTTGTCCCTGCGCTGGTTGCTTACAAAGGCTTTATGGGGTTCTTTTTGGCAATCATGACGGCATCTAATTCCATATATTTATGCTTAGTAAGTTGGGCGTTGATAATATTCAAGCTCCAACATTAATTCAGGTTGGGTCATACCGTTTTTATGATCTAAGGGTGTTTTTGAGATTAGCTTTCTCTCTTCTAGGTGCTTCACGTAAATACTAATAGCGATCGAAGTTGAAGTTGTAATGTTGAGCAGAATAGACTAATGGGGTGCAAGTTGGGTTGGCCTGAATCAATAGTTTACACCGTTTCAGGTTTGGGCTTCCGATTGCGTTGATTGAAATATTGACAAAATCCCAAACTTAACTCTGAAGCAAAAAAAAGAAAAAAAAAAATCCCAACCTTATCTTGCAAAAGTTGCAAATCTTCTCTTCTCTACTTCTCTTATATCTCTTGTTTCTTCCTATTTGTTTTGTAGTCTTTGGTCAATAATTAACTATTAACCTGTCAAGGTTTTCAATACTCTTTTTCAATCTGATTTTATAATTACTTCATTTATTTAACAATAGATATGGCATTAAAAGGAATGGAAAAACAGGATAATATTAACAAAAGATATGACATTAAACATAAGGGAACAATATAATAAAACAGGATTCATGTAGCAAAACCCCATATAGTTAAGATAAAAGCTATGATGATGATGATGATGACTGTGATTACCAATTGAGAATCGTTTTCTAATCCAATCGTGGGACATATTCATTATTCGTCTTTCCCAAATTCATTCTTTTCCTCTTTTGTACCTCTCCTTTGATTAAATTATAACTGATGGACAATATAAATCAGGTAAGAGGGTCCTATCAGAAGAGGGAAAACAAAAACAAAAAGTGGAAAGAGGGGTCAGGTCTAGTCTTAATTGGAATCATCTTGGTGGAGTAAAAACAATGTTTGGTGGAAAATCTGAAGGATCCCTTAATTTTTCTGTATTTTGCATGACTTGATTGATATTTCTTTTAGTGGCCTCTACAAATCTTTTTGCTCCCAAAAGAGAACCTAAACCATAAATAATAAAGCTTTGTTTTGATGGTGTGAACGTTCTTTCTTAATGTCAAATCGATGAGGATAATAAAAAGGTAGAGTGTAGACGAAAATAAATTTGTCCAATGAAATTTAATTTTTTGTTAATACATTCAAGATTTCCAACCCATCATATATCAACTTCTTGACTCTTTCTATATATATATATATATATATATATATATTAAATATAAACACAAGAGATTATATAAAATATTAATCAATCTATCAAAGTTTCAAACATCCTTACATGCTGCAAACCACATAATTTCATCTAATTTCCTAAAGTCTGAACGTCAAATCATTTGAATTTGAATTGATCTTATTAAGGATGATCTACATTCTATCTGTTTATAATTGGACCAAATATGGATCTATCTTGATTCCATCTAAACACATATGTTCATATATATTTAAAAATGCATTTATCATTGAAGTTGGTCTCAATGTTATATTTTCAATTCATTTTGTTCATAAAATATAATATTAAAGTCATTTAATTTTAGCTCATTTTATTAATAATATATATAATATTAGGGTTTGACTATGATACTGAAAAGACATGATATTCGAAAAACTTACAACCAATCAATCAGTATCACAAAAGAGGTAACCAATCAAGTAATATCCATCAAAATTCACAAGGTTACTTTGATTGGTCAAAGCTCATCCATTACTATGTCTTTCCAGTATCATATAGATTTTTCCATATTATTTTGATCATTTTTAATCTAATTTATTTATACTATATATTTAATATCTGATTGTAATCTGAATTCGATTCGAATCTATTGATATGATCAATTCGAATTTGAATGTTAACAAGTCAAATTTGGATATGCCTATATCAAATTAAATTGGGTCCCCTTTGTAGCCCCTAACTAGTAATTATTTAGAGTTTAGCTAGAGAGACTGGTTCTAAGCGAAATCTCCATTGACACTGACTGATCTTAGGGTCTGTTTGTTTCACATGATTAGGGGTCTGGAATTTGGATTAGAAATAGCCAAAACGTTTGGTTGGACGGTCAGAATCCAATTTTGGTCAAAAAACAGAATGAGAATCCCA